AGGGGGTAGGGAGCTAGACGGGCAGGAGGCCCGTTGCTGGCCGGCAGCAGGGACGTCCACAGGTGACAGGTGGCCAGGCGGTCACAAGGCCCGTGGCAGCCACCCTGGTGGGCCAGAGGGACACCCCCAGGGCCTCCAGGAGTTGCCCCCCCCCCCGCCTCTCTGCAACTGTCCAGGGCTTGGCCACACGCAGCCCCTAGGGGAAGGCAACGCGCCGGCCACCGTGCGTCCCCCTCTCTGAAGGGACTAAGCACGTCCGCCCCCACGCGGCTCAGCGCGGCCACCAGCTTCACCGGGGCCGAGTCACACCTGGCCCTCTCCAAGCACGCGTGACACAGCAACGTAGACAGACACCCGTGTCAGCAGGTGGCGGTACCAGAGGCCAAACATCCAAACTCCTGCCCACCCTCAGGAGGACGGAGGGCTCGTGGGTCCCGGGGCACACGGGCGTGCTGTGTGGGGAGGCCCACAGCCGGGGCACGCGGGTCCCGGGACACAGTCAGGCAGACACAAGTGTGCTGCACAGCCCGGGACACACGGATCAAGCCCGCTGCACACACCCCGCTGCACACGAGGGTGGAAGGCACTGGAGGTTAGACCCCCGCCCGGGGCAGCACCTCGGAGCCCAGCCAGCCCGGCGCCTCCCGGGGCTCTGCATCCATCCCCCTCGAGGTCGCGCCCCCCCCCAGCTCCCTGCGCCAAAAGCCATCTGACCCACTGGCGGGGTTCGGCCCATCTTCTGTCGGGGGCTCCCAAAGTCACAGCGGGCCCAGACTCCTCCCCCGGACACCTAACGGGCACCTCCAGCCTGCGGGACAGGAAACCGACGCCCCCAAACCTGCTCCCCACCCCGCTTCCCTCCCGTGCGCAGGCCCCGTGGCCAGTGGGGTCCTCTGTCCTCATCCCTGACGCCCGCCTGCAGTGCGGGACTCCCAGTGTGCAAGGGGACCCTCTCCCCACCGTGGCAGTTCCGGGGCGTACCCTGGGTGCCGCTCACTGCCCTCCCTGCTTCCATCTCCCCCCTCTTCCAGGTCTGTCAGGGACCACGACCCACCTCTCAGGGTTACCCACCACGCAGCCTGGAGCAACCCCCTGCTCCACAGAACTCATCGCCCCCCCCCTGCCCCCAGGTGCCTGTCCCACTACCGCCCTGCACCTCGCTGGAGTCGGGGGTCAGCTCCCGCCCCCCTTGGGTCTCACAAGGGCTATCCATCCCCCGTGCTTAGCACCCGGCCCTTCCCCCTGCAGGGTTGTCGCTCGGCCCGCTCGGACCAGGGGCACCCATGCTCGGGGGCCAAGGCCAGGCCCTGGGGTAGGACCCGATGCGCAGCGGCTTGTCCCCGTGCACCCGCCGCACCCCTGCTGCGGCCCATGCGACATGGAAGTGGACACACGAGTACCTGGAGGGGCAGGGACGCCTGCACACGCGTGCACAAAACAGACCCAACAATCCCCAAGACACTGGGAGTCCCTGCTCGTCCCCCCACCAGTCCGCCTTTCTCCTTCCAGATCTGCCCTCTGCTTGAACCCAGGCTCAGCCCTGGGAGTGGGGGTCTCCAGTATGGACACGGGGGTGGGGGTGGGGGGGTCATGGGCCCACAGGCCTCAGGCCACGCCTTCAGCTATGCCTGCAATTTCCTCTCCCCCTTCCTTCCCTCCTCCTCTCTGAGGCTCCCGCCAAGAGGGCCTCCCCCTCACCCAGGGCCCGTGCAGGAAGGGGGGCCCGGGAGAGGTGGGGTCTGAGAGTCGGGCAGGAAGACGCGTGGACCCTGTGACACACTGCACACATGAGCCCCGAGCCTGGGGGGACGTGGATGCAAGGGCTGGGCACGTTTAGTCTGGAGCAAAGTGCACGTCTGCGGTGGCTGGGGTGCGGGTGTGGGGCGGTGTGGGGTGCACAGGGGCCGCAGAAGCTGGGGGCAGCTGGGGGGGGCCTGCAGGGCTCTAACATTCAGTCACCCCGTGTGACAGAGCCCTGCCAGCTGGACGCCCCGGGAGGGGGGGTTCTCTCCCTTGTGAATTGAGGGTCCAAGGGAGGCCCTCCTGGGAGGGCTCTAGGGGCAGAGGGCAGTGGGTTCAAATCCTGACCCTTTGGTCAAGTTATTCAACCTCTCCCTGACTCAGTTTACTTCTCTGCCAAGTGGCGACAACGGTGCCCGCGTCGCAGGGGTGTTAAAGGAAAGAATATTCAAAGGGCGCGCACCTGCACACGCACCCTCACCCGCACGCGCACCCTCACCCGCACCCTCACCTCACCCGCACCCGCACCCTCACCCGCACCCTCACCCGCACGCGCACCCTCACCCGCACGCGCACCCTCACCCTCACCCTCACCCCGCACCCTCACCCTCACCCGCACTCACGCTGCCCGGCACCGAAGCGGAACTTCATCCGCATTATTATTATTTTGTTATTAGGAGCTGGGGGCGGGTCGCTGCCCCCGCCTCCCCGCGGTTTCCTGTGGGAGAGCCGAGGCCGCCCCCCCCCCCCCCGCTCCCCTTCCTCTCCCGGCCCCCTCCCTCCGCGCCTCCCCCTCCCGCCCGCCGCCCCGCCCCGCCCCGCCCCGCCCCTTTCCTCCGAGGAACTTTCCGCGGCTGGTCCTGGGCCCGCGTCCGGCCCGCGCTGCCGCGGCCTGGGAGCCGAGCGGGGCAGGGGGCGGCGGGGACCGGACGGGGCGGGCGCGGCGGGGCCCGGGTGTATGCGGCCGCCGGACGCGCCGGGGCCGGCAGCGGGGAAGCGGGGCGCCGACGGTGAGCGGGCCCGGGGCCTGCGGGCGGTGGGTCCCGGCGGGGCGGGGCGGGGCGGGGGGGCGCGGCGGCGTCCCGGGCGCGCGGCGGAGCCTCCCGCGGCGCACTCCCCGGGCCCCGCGACGTGGAGGGGCGTCTGCGCCGGGGAGGAGGCCCCCCAGGCAGGGCCCGGGCCCGTAACGACGTTAGGGAGCCGCCGTCTGCGGGGTGCAGCGCGCGCAGCGGGGCCAGCTGCTCCGGAGGCAGCGGGGTCGGGGTGAGCCGTGCGCTGGGGGTGGGGTCCGACCTTGCGACCCGCAGGCTGACGGGGGGCTGCCCCTCCGCCCCCAGAGCGGCATGGACGCCCCACGGAGGGACATGGAGTTGCTCAGCAACAGCCTGGCGGCCTACGCGCACATCCGCGGTGAGGGCGGGCCCGGGGCCTGGGCCCCTCCCTCCCCTCCTCCCCCCGCCCCCATCCCCTCCTCCTCTCTCCCCCTCCCCGCCCCCCCCCCCGCTGGCGGCTACCTGGGGTCTTGCAGGTAAGGAGTCCCGCCCTCCCCCCGCCCCCATCCCCTCTCCTCCTCCCCGCCCCCCCCCCCCCGCTGGCGGCTACCTGGGTCTTGCAGGTAAGGAGTCCCGCCCTCCCCCCGCCCCCATCCCCTCCTCCCGCCCCCATCCCCGCCCCCCCCCCCCCCCGCTGGCGGCTACCTGGGTCTTGCAGGTAAGGAGTCCCGCCCTCCCCCCGCCCCCATCCCCTCCTCCCGCCCCCATCCCCGCCCCCCCCCCCCCCCCGCTGGCGGCTACCTGGGTCTTGCAGGTAAGGAGTCCCGCCCTCCCCCCGCCCCCCCACCTTAGAACCCGGGCTCCTGGGCGAAGGGCCTACCCCCCAGGCGCCGGGGCGCCCCCCGACGCGCGCCCTCCGCCCGCAGCTAACCCCGAGAGCTTCGGCCTCTACTTCGTGCTGGGAGTCTGCTTCGGGCTGCTGCTCACCCTGTGCCTGCTGGTCATCAGCATCTCCTGTGCGCCCCGCGCGCGGGCCCGCGCCCCCGCTCCGCGCCGGGACCCCCGCAGCAGCGCCCTGGAGCCCGACGACGACGACGACGACGACGACGAGGACACGGTGACGCGGCTGGGCCCCGACGACACGCTGCCCGGCCCGGAGCTCAGCGCCGAGCCCGACGGGCCCCTGAGCGTCAACGTCTTCACGTCGGCGGAGGAGCTGGAGCGGGCGCAGCGCCTGGAGGAGCGCGAACGGATCCTGCGGGAGATTTGGCGCACCGGGCAGCCCGACCTGCTGGGCTCCGGCACCCTGGGGCCCGGCCCCACGGCCACCGGCACCCTGGGGCGCATGCACTATTACTGACCCGCCCGCTCCCGCTGCGAGGAGCTCTGCGTACTGCACCCTGCGCGCCAACTCACAGCGGCCCCAGGCCATTGGGACGGCCCCGCCCCACCGCCTCCCCCCTACCCCAGGGCTCCGGGGTCTGGACCCCCACCTTCCGGGCTCCCCAGTCCTGCCAGAAAACCGGCGGGGAAGGCCCGGACGCGGGGACCCCAGCCCCCCTCCTGGGATCGGTTAAGAGATGAAGGGACCAATGAAAACTGCATTTCCAGTGACTCAGTGTCCCTCTGTTGCTTCTGCCCCGCGTGCGTGCGCCCCAGGCCCCTGCCGCGCAGGGGCCCCGGATGGAGATGCCCCCTGACTCGTGCACCAGGCTGACCCCCGTCGTCCCACCAGCCCCTCCGCACACAGGCCTCCTCCCGCTCACGCTGAAAACAGAGCAAGCTGTCACTCGCAGGCCCCCCCACAGGCATTCCTCACCCGCCCGCCCGCTCCCCGCGGAGCTCCGGGGTCACGCGCGCGCGCCCCGGGCCCGGGGCCCTGACCTCGACGCTAAGGCACGACGGCCCGGGCTAGGCTAGGCGGGCGCCCGCGGGAGGGGTCGGGGCGGGAGGGCAGGCCCGCCCACCTCCTCGGGCGCACAGCTGGATTCCGGGCTCCGGGCTCCCGGCCCCGGCAGACGTCGGAGGGAGACGCCCCCCGCCCGCCCCCGCCATCCGGTGGGTAAAAATAGCGGCGCGCGGGCCCTGGGAACCGTAATGGGAGCCACATGTCGGCCAGATGTGCCCGGGAGAGACCGCCAGGAATGCGGAGGCCCCGCCCCCGCCCCCCCATGCCGCCGGGCCCCGCCCCCTCCGCCGACCATTTCCCCGGGCCCGCCCCCTCTGGCCCGCCCCGCCCGCCCCCGCACGGACCAGGCGGGCGCGGCGGGCGCGTACACCGCAGTTTACTTTCTTGCGTTTCTCGGAGTCGTGTGCGAGGACGTGGGTGGCCGCAGCCCGACTCGCCCCCAGGCCCCGCCGCAGTCCCTCCCGGGCCCCCCCTCAGTGCGTCTGCGTCTGCGCGTGGATGGAGCCCCGCGTCCCGGACTCCTGAGTCCCCCGCTGCATCTGCACCTGGTCGGGAGAGGGCGTCAGGGCAGGCGGGGTGGGGGGGGGGCAGCCCGCCGCCCCTGGGGGCCGCACCCCACCCACCTCCAGCGACAGGCGCTTCTCCTTCTCGCTCTTCAGCTCCTCCCAGAGGTCGGCGAGCTTCCTCCTGCGGACGGAGGGGAAGCGGTGGGCAGTGCAGGCCGAGCCCGCCCCCCGCCCCCCGCCCCGCCGCCCCGCCCCGCCCCACTTACTCCAGCTGCACCCCCATCCGCTCCAGCGACCTCCTCAAAGACTCCACCTCGTCCTGGAGCCTCGTTATGTCGCCTCTGTCACTTTTGCTGTCCGTGAGATTTTGCGGAGACAAGGAAAGTAGGGCGGGAGCCTCCTGGGGGTCTGGAGTCGCCTTGACAGCTTGAGGATTCTTTTGAGCAGGGGCTGCCTCTTTGGGGGACACCTCCTCTTTGGGGAGTACTGCCTCTTCCCGGGTCCCCTCATGCTCCCCAGGTGCCTCCTCCAGGGGGGTTGTCGCCTTCGCAAGGGCAGGCAGGGACCCTGACTCGCACTCAGACTCAGACTGGAATGGGGAGCTGCCCCTCTGATGGAGATGGGGCTCCTCTGGCATGTGGACCTCTTGGGACTGAGCTTCATTGGCCACAAGAGACTTGAACGGCGGTGGCAGGGCTTGCTCCGGAGAGAAGAGATGGAGCTGAGTGATGTCTCTGGTGGAGGCCTCTTGAGAGAGCACCTGCTCAGGGGTCAAGACCTTCCCTAGGGTGGGTGCCTCATCCCCAGGAGGGACCGTCTTTGGGCCAGGGACTTCATCCTCCGGTGGGACTTCAGGGACAGGGGCCTCCTCCCCAGAAATGACACTGTCTGGGCTGGGGGCCTTGCCCAGGGTCAGGCCCTCCTCTGGGGTGGGGTTCTCTGGGACTGGGGCCTTGAACTCTAGAGTCAGGGATCCCTCTGAGATGGGGGCCTTCTCCGGAGTCAGGGCTTCCTCTGGAGTGGAGGCCTTATCCGGAGATAGAGTCTTCTCTGGGCTGGGGGTCTTGTCTGGAGTGGGGGTTTTATTCACAGGAGAGGCCTTTGCTACGCTGTTCTGCTCTTCCTCCTGTGGTGATGGGGGCGAGGTCTCAGCCGAAGGATGGGTACCTGGGGGCCTTCACCCCTGTACACCATCCATATCCCCCAGGAACCAGGCAGGCCCCCTACCTGACTAGCTGCAGAGCGCTGCCGAGGAGCATGGGGTTTCGATCCTTTTCTACCAGGGTGGCCCAGACCCCCGCTGAGGAAGCTGCCCCCGGAGCCTATGAGAGCAGAATCACAGGGGTCCAGGCTACTCTGACCCCGGGTCTCTCCCCACCTCTGTCCTTCAGCACAACCACCCTATCCCCGTGCCCCATTCCTTGCCCCACTGGAGGGAGGCAAGGAGACCTACCCGGGTCTCGAGAGGGGCGCTTCTGACTGTCTCCGCCGGGTGTCCAAGAGGGCCTGGAATATACCCCCATCAGACCAGGAGGTGGGGGCCGGGGAGCAGCACTTCCCTCGTGCCTTCCTCCTTCCCCCCTCCTCATCCCCTCCCCCAGCTCCTTACTTGGCTTTACTGGGTCCACTGGGGGCTGTCACCAGCTTCCTGACTGTAGGGAGGGCTGATTTGGCCATCATCTTTTTTGGTTCCTTAGCTGGGAGGGGAGAAGGGAGTGTGGCATCCATCCGTCTAACAGTTGCTGGCCCTGTCCTTGCAGAGGGGACTGGGGACAGGAGATGAAAATTTGACTCTGCCTCTTCCAAACTCTGGGGAAGCCGACCGCCCTTGGGCCGCGTGGGCCTAAGGAACTGTGGGAGCGAGTAGGGGACACCTAGCAGGACACCGTTGTCAGGGAAGGCTTTGAAGGGGACATGGCTTCAAATCCTGCCAGGATTTTTTTATCCATACTTTTTTCTTTCCTTTTTTTTTTTTCTTCTCAAAAGTAATCTCTGTGCCCCACGTGTGTCTCAAACTCACAACCCTGAGATCTAGAGTTGCACGCCCTCTGGACTAAGCCAGCTGGTGCCCCTGCCCACACTTTTCTACGACCTGTCCCCTGCTCAGTGCCCGTGGCTGCCTCCGGGGTTCAGACCCTCCTCTTTTCCCTAGACCACGCCAGTAACCTTCCCCAAGCCAGTCACCTGCCCTAGAACTTCCAGGTCTCCTCTACCCCAGGTACTCCCTAAGAGATCTCACCCCGTGTGACGGGTTTAACTAGCACCAGTGCGCCAGCAACTCCCACACCCTCATCTCTGTCCTCTGTTCCCACCTGGGGAGCTAACTGGCCTCACACACAGAACATACCCAAACCTGCGCTCTCACCCCCCCCCCCCGCCCAACGCCTCTTTACCAGCGTTCCCCACCTCAGCCACTTACCCACTTGCTCAGATGACAAAATGAGTCATCTGTGACCCCCTTCATTCCCTCGTGCTGCACATCCAAACCTGCAGTAACCCGACTGCTCCACCTTCAGACGGGGCCTGATTTCCGCCACCTGTCACCCCCTCTGCCACTAAGCACTGGAGCGAGGCACCAGCATCTCCACCGGGACCATGTGGACCATGGCAGCAGCTCCCCCCCTGCAGGCACGTCCCCCCCGACAGTCGCCGTGAGCTCAGGGTCTACTGGGAAGCAGACATAGGCAAAACCAGAATATATAGCAGGTGTCGCTGAGGAAGAATAAGCAGGGGACTGTCCACTTTAAATGGGGCCACAGAAGGCCACAGAGAAGGTGACACCAGAGCGAACAGTCACACTGGGTGACATTCGTATTTGTGGGCACACGAAGGGCCACTCTGTTCACTCAATGCACCTGCTGGTGCATCTGCACCGCGGGCCAGGTCGGTCCTGCAGCCACGCCAGGCTCCGACGTCCTGCTGCCCGCATGCAGCAGTGCGACGACATCCCCTCCCTGTGCCCCAGCATCTCACCCGCGAGACCTGCTGGGGTTCCTGCGAGTTCTGAGTGACTTTGCTCATGTGAGGTGCTCAGAGGACTAAGGGGCGTATGGTCAAGGCTCAGTGAAGGGAACTTTAACCTTGGCTTCCTGTGCTCTGGCCGATCAGGTGCCCGGTGGGGGAGCAAGTACATCCTCCTTGGGACCCAACTTCGAGGCGGGAGGAGGTCCACCAGAAAGGAGGAACGGAGGCCAGAGAGGCGGTGAGAGGACAGCACTGCACTACTGAGGCCCATGACGAGGGGCGACCCCCCTTAGCCCCCCGCAGGCCCCACGCGTGGAAACTGCGCAGCAGCGCGAGCCCTGCACCCTGCACACCCCTTTCTTCTAGAGGCCTGCGGTGGAGTCTGGTGGCCGGCACCCTTTGGCTCCTGGCAGAAGCAGAAGCAAGTCCTTCCTGGAGGATGAGGCGTGAGCTCCCCCGGGGTGGCATTGGGGCCCGAGCCTGCAACAGGAGCCCACAACACAGGGCCCGTTGGGAATCAACAGGCAAATCCGGGTGGAGGAGAAAACTGAATGACTGCAGATGAAAAACAGCATTCTAGAAAGAAATCAAATGTGATACAGGTTAAGTAGCAGGTAAAGCACAGCCAAAAGCCAGAGAAGTGGCAGGCTGAAAGCACAGAGACAAGGAGCCGAAACCCTGAAAGCGGCGCTAAGAAGAGCGGATGATGACAGGGGCTGTGACTGTGGCTCGATGACGTGGTTGACAAATCCTCACCTGGCACTGCAACTAGAAAGCTGGACCAAACCACCGTTTCCGTGCTCTGGAAGCTGACCCAAGGCAGAAGGTAACCTGAGAAGTGCTGACGGCATCGTCTCCCAGGCCTGCACCCGCCCCTGCCCTGCCAGCCTGGTCCACACAGATGCTCTGCAGCATGGGGCCGGCTGCAAAGACTGGCGCTTCTCTGCCACGGTGGAAGGGAGGTCACTCGATCTGGGCTATAGCATTGGACTTGGCCCTGGTTTCATAGGTAGGGCACCAGAAGCACAAGCAACTGAAGAGAAAATAGAAAAATGGGACCTCCTTGAGATGGAAACCTCTGGGGGCCTTAAAGGACAAGAAATTGAAAAGACAACGGATGGGATGGTAGAAAATATCTGCAAAAGTATATGCCCCCCGAGGGACTTTTCCCAAGATATATGAGAAACTCTACAAATCAATAGTCCGAAGTCTTTAAAAAATAGGCAAAAAATCCAAATAGACATTTCTCCGAAAGAAGACACACAGATTGTCAATAAACATAAGAAAAGACGCTCAACATTTAAGGCGTCCGAGAAAGTGGAGCAGAACCATGATGAGCTGCCGCTTCACACCGACTAGGATGATTATAATAAAAAAGTGACAAATGTTGGAGGGGATGTGAAGAAGCAGAACCGTCACGCATCACTGGTGGGAGGAGAAAATGGGACCAGCACAAACAGTGTGACGGCTCTTCCCCATGCTAACGGAGCTGTCCGGCACCCAGAAACCCCTTCCCACGCACACACCCAGGAGACATGGACACACGTCAGCGCAAAAACTTGTACACGAGAGTTTATGCCCACAAAGGTAAAACCAACACAATGTGTCCACCAGCAAACAGATGAGTAACACGTGGTTCGTTCACACAATGGAAATATTATTGGGCAACAAAAAGGAATGAAGCACAACACATACTAGAAATTGGATGAGTCTTGAAAACAGAAGGTAAGATAGGAAAGGTTTTGTTTTTTCAGGGGCGTCCGGACGGCGCGGTCGGTTAACTGATTCTTGATTTCAACTCAGGTCATGATCTCAGGGTCATGAGACTGAGCCCTGCGCGGAGCTCCATGCTGGGCGAGCCACCTGCTGGGGACTCTTTGTCTCCCTCTCCCTCTGCCCCTTCTCTCTCTCTCTCCCTTCCTCCCTCTCTCTAAAAAAGAAAAAAATATATATATATGTATGTATGTATTTGAATATTTTAACTCTGATGAGACTGAATAAGAAAAAAGAGAGGACAAATAATTACTAAAAATAAAAAAAAGACTAAGTACAGACACAGATTATGAGAGAATGTTATGAATAACTTTACATAAATAATCAGAAAACATTGAAGAAATGGATAATCACAAATAGAATTCATTAGAGGTGCCTGGCTGACTCAGTCAGTGGAGCGTGGGACTCTTGATCTCTGGGTTGTTAAGTTCGAGCCCGACACTGGGCATAGAGATTACTTTAAAAAGCAAATAATTAAAAAATAAAAAACATAAAAGTAAGTATAAAGCAAAAATGAAATAAAATAAAATAAAAAACGAAGATAAAATGGATTCAAGAATTTTTTTTAAGATTTTGTTTATTAAAAAAAAAGATTTTATGTATTTTTTCATGAGATGCAGAGAGAGAGAGAGAGAGAGAGAGAGAGAGAGAGAGAGAGAGGCAGACACACAGGCAGAGGGAGAAGCAGGCTCCACGCCGGGAGCCCAACGTGGGACTCGATCCCGGGACTCCAGGATCACAGCATGGACCAAAGGCAGGTGCTAAACTGCTGAGCCACCCAGGGATCAAGAATTTTAGCCAGATTTTTGGCTAGCTATCATTACCCAGGGACCAGGAGACAGAAGGCTGTCTGTGCAAGACTCCCAAAGTGCAAGATTTCCTCTTCCGAGTTCCAAGGTAAAGCCATTTGAACAGCAGCTGTAAAGGAGTCTTTGTGGATGGAATCAAGTTAAGATGAGGTCACACTCTAGTAGGGCCCTAAACCAATGCCCGGTGACCTTACTAGAAAAGGAAAATATGGACAGAGGCACACAGTGCAGAAGACAATGTGAAGACAGGCAGAGAAGAGCAGTAGATCTGTCCCTAAACCGAGGACTGCCAGGAACTACCAGAAGCTAAGGGACAGGGGCACCTGGGGGGGCACAGGGGGTTTGCCTTCAGCTCAGGGCGTGACCCTGGGATCCTGGGATCGAGTCCTGCATGGGGCTCCCTGCAGGGAGCCTGCTTCTCCTTCTGCCTGTGTCTCTGCCTCTCTCTTTGTCTCTCATGAATAAAATCTTAAAAAAAAAAAGAGAGAGAGAGAGAAGCTAAAGGACAAGGAAAGATGCTTCTCCTAGACTCTTCACAGAAAACATGGCTATGCCAACAACTTGATTTTGGATTTCTAGCCCCCAGAACTGTGAGAGATTACACTTCTCTTGATTTAAGCCAAACAAAACAAGAAGAAAAAGAATTTCAAACATTCTCATAACTATTAAAGAAATTAAATAGTTTAAAATCTTCCCATAAGGGAAAAAAACAGGGCAAGATGGATTCGCAGGCAAGTTTTATCAACTCTCAAGGAAAGATGATTCCCATCTTCTTTATTTTTTCCCCAAGTAAACTCTGCCCCCAGTGTGGGGCTCAAACTCACGACCCTGAGATCCAGAGTCACACACTCTACGGACTGAGCCAGTCGGGCACCCCCACAATGATTTCCATCTTATATAAGATCTACCAGATAATTTAAAAACTAAATATATACCTCATAACTCATGTACGGGGCCAGTATAATGTTCAAAATCAGATGAGGACAGTAGAAATAAATGCAAAAATCTTTTTTTTAAATTTTTATTTATTTATGATAGTCACAGAGAGAGAGAGAGGCAGAGACACAGGCAGAGGGAGAAGCAGGCTCCATGAACCGGGAGCCCGACATGGGATTCGATCCCGGGTCTCCAGGATCGCGCCCTGGGCCAAAGGCAGGCGCCAAACCACTGCGCCACCCAGGGATCCCTAAATGCAAAAATCTTAAGAAAAACTGGGAAAATATTCCAACGGCACATAAAAAGATAATAAAACCATGACCAATTTGAATGTATCCCAAAAATGCAGGGGTGGCTTAATATTAGAAATTTCTACAAATGTCATTTATCACACTGACAGATCAAAGGAGAAAACCCAGAGAATAATTTCAAAAGAGTCATATAAACAATTTGAAAAAACTCAGCACACACTCTTAATAAAAATTCTAAATAAACTAGAAATAGAAAGGACCTTTCTGCGGCACCCGGGTGGCTCAGTGGCTGAGCATCTGCCTTCGGCTCAGGGCGTGACCCCGGGGTCCTGGGATCGAGTCCCGCATCCAGCTCCCCACAGGAAGCCTACTTCTCCCTCTGTCTGTGTCTCTCATAAATAAATAAATAAAATCAGAAAGAAAGGAAGGAAGAAAAAGAAAGAAAGAAACTTTCTTAGCCTGACAAAAAAAACATCTAAGAAAAGATCTAAGTATCACTGTTAAAGGAGACAAGTTGGGAACATTCCACTGAACATGGTAATGATGCTCAACACGACTTCTATTCAAGAGTGGGTTGAGCCCCTAGCCACTATAGTAAAATGAAAAAATAAAATAAAAAGATGTTAAAAAGTGGAAAAGATACAGAAAAATTATTGTAAGTCACAGATAACATGACTGGCTTCGTAGAAAACTTAATAAGAATCTACAGATAGAGGGGCCTGGGTGATACAGTCGGTTAAGCATCTGACCCTTGGCTTCAGCTCAGATTGTGAGATCGAGCCCTGCATTGGGTTCCACGCTCAGCATGGATTCTGCTTGAGATTCTCTGTCCCTCTCCCTTTGCCCCTCCTGCTCATGCTCTTTCTAAAATAAATAAATCTGGGGATCCCTGGGTGGCTCAGCGGTTTGGCACCTGCCTTTGGCCCAGGGCGCGATCCTGGAGTCCCCGGATCGAGTCCCGCATCAGGCTCCCTGCATGGAGCCTGCTTCTCCCTCTGCCTGTGTCTCTGCCTCTCTCTCTCTCTCTATGTCTATCATAAATAAATGAATAAATAAACCTTAAAAAAATAAATAAAATAAATAAATCTTAAAAAAAGCTATAGATAAATAATTAGACATAGAATTTAGCACCATGAAAAAAATTAAAAAAAAAAGAATTTAGCACCATGAATGGCTATAAAATCAATATACAAAAATCAATGCACTTCTATATTCCTGAAATAAACAAATGGATACATACTTTTCTATTGTTATTTTTTTTAAGGTTTTAGTTTTAATCTTTACACCCAGCACGGGGATCAAACTCACAACCCCAAGATCAAGAGTCATGTGTTCCACCGACGGAGCCAGCCAGGTGCCTCTGTCTTATTTTTGAAAAGACATGACACAAAAATCTGAGGTATCTAGAAATAAATCTTAGAAAAATTTTAAAAAGTTGTGTAAAACTCACAAGCAGAAAGTAATACACGGTGTTGGAACAATTCATTGCCCCTATAGAAAAGGTATAATTGGTCATTCACTAAAAATCAATGCCACAGGGGGTCCTGGGTGGCTCAGTCGGTTAAGTGTCTGCCTGCAGGTCTTGATCTCAGGGTCCTGGGATCGAGCCCTGCATCGGGCTCCCTGCTCAGTGGGGAACCTGCTTCTCCCTCTCCCTCCGTCTCTGCCCCTCACTCATGCTTGCTCTTTTATACTCTCTCTCTCAAATAATTAATCAATGTTAAAAAAATTAATGCCACAAAGATAAAGGCACTTTAAAAGTTTTAAAGAAAATATGACTTTTTCTGAACTTGGAGCAGGAAGGATTTTTTAGACAAGGAAAAGCCTGCTAACCATGAAAGACTGACACGTCTACATTAAAATTAAGAATTCCCGTTCATGGGATCCCTGGGTGGCTCAGCGGTTAAGCGTCTGCCTTGGGCTCAGGGCGTGACCCTGGAGTCCCGGGATCAGGTCCCACATCGGGCTCTCTGCATGGAGCCTGCTCCTCCCTCTGCCTGTGTCTCTGCCTCTCTCTCTCTCTCTCTCATGAATAAATAAAAAATCTTAAAAATAAAGTCCAAGTTAAAAAAAAAATTAAAAAAAAAAAAGAATTCCCGTTCATCACAGAACACCATTATACCAAAAAGACAACAAGCCACGATGAGAGAAAACATTTGTAAGTCATATAACCTCCAAAGGATTGGTATTCAGTATATATAAAGAATTCAAACTAATTATAACCAACCACAGAAATGCAAATGAAGTCCACAATGAGATCCTACTTTGTACCTACTGAATTCACATACAAAAAAAAGTAAGGGGATCCCTGGGTGGCGCAGCGGTTCGGCACCTGCCTTTGGCCCAGGGCGCGATCCTGGAGACCCGGGATCGAATCCCATGTCGGGCTCCCGGTGCATGGAGCCTGCTTCTCCCTCTGCCTATGTCTCTGCCTCTCTCTCTCTCTCTCTCTGTCTCTGTGACTATCATAAATAAATAATAAAAAAATTTAAAAAAAAAAGTAAAATCTGGGATGCCTGGGTGGCTCAGCGGTTGAGCGTCTGCCCTGGGCTCAGGGCATGACACCGGGGTCCTGAGACCGAGTCCCACATCGGGCTCCCTGCATGGAGCCTATTCCTCCCTCTGCCTGTGTCTGTGTGTCTCTCATGAATAAATTTTTTTTAAAAATCTTAAACACAAAAAAGTAAAATCTATAAAACCAAGTATTGAAGAGGATTGAAATAATAGGATCTCATACACTGATGGTGGAATGTTAAAGTGTATGATCACTTTGAAGACCAAACTGACTAGATCTCATAAAAGTTGAACATTCACATACCCTATAATCTAGAATGCTACTCCTAGGATAGAGAAATGATTTGACGTGCACAGAACACAGGCACAAGAATGTTCACGGCAGCCGTATTTCTTGTAACAAAAACTAGGAACAGGGACGCCTGGGTAGTGGTTGGGCATCTGCCTTCGGCCTAGGGCGTGATCCTGGAGTCCCGGGATCAAATCCCACATTGGGCTCCCTGCATGGAGCCTGCTTCTCCCTCTGCCTGTGTCTCTGCCTCTCTCTTTCTGTCTCTCATGAATAAATAAATAAAATCTTAAAACAAAAACCAAAAAACAAAACAAAACAAAACCAAAAACCAAGAACTAGGAACAATGAAAATGTCTAACATCATTAGACCAGATACAGACATAAACTGTGGTAAATTCCCTGCCAGGAATATCATACAGCAGAGAAAAACTAATGAGCTTACATCTATATACAACATGGATTAATCTTAGAAATATAATTAAAAAAAAAGAAATATAATGTTGATTGGAAACAGCAAGTCCCAAAAGCCTATATACATGATACCATTTTTATCAAGCTCAAAAACAAGCAAAAATCATTTGCTACATTATTTAGGCACATAGGTAAATAAATGTAACAACTCAAGGGAACCATAAAAACAAAATTCCCCATAGCCTTTACCTTTTGGGGGGGAGGGTAGGTAGCAGAATGGGAAAGAAAAGGATCATTACGTAAACCATTAGCAATACTGCAGTTCTTGGGTTTGGTGACAGGTCATGAATGTTCACGCGTGTCCATTATTAAGCTGTTTTGTTTTAAGGATTTTATTTATTTATTCATGAGACACACAGAGAGAGGCAGAGACACAGGCAGGGGGAGAAGCAGGCTCCATGCAGGGAGCCCGATGGGGACTCGAACCCAGGACCCCGGGGTCACGCCCTGAGCTGAGGGCAGACGCTCAACCGTTGAGCCACCCAGGCGCCCCCCCCCGTTATAAGTTACAGAGAACTTATGTAGTTTTCGCATGTGTGAAATATGATTTTAAAAGATGAATGAAACATTCCCCTGGAAGTTTCATTCATCTTTTAAAATCATATTAAAGTTTTCACCGACGCGGTTATATGCCGCGTGAACACACAGCACCACGTCAAAGACAGACACCGCCATCCACAAACTTCCTTAGAAAATGAAACAAGTCTAAACGTGCGGATGGCCACGTTCTCAGCCACACAAAGCAATAGGAACACGCATGAACTGACCCGAGGACCCACACGTACCTACCGTGTCCTTAATGCTCGCAGAGGTGCCCGCTGAGGGACCTATGGTCCTGCACCACTGGGGAGCTGTGGGCGTTTATGGGCAACTAAAGTGGTGGTGCCCCAGAGAGCAAGATGCCATCCCCCAGGCCCCCACCCACGCCCACCCGCATCCCAGGCTCCCCGGGCACCCACCTGATTCCCGAGACGCCACTTTCCGTGGGGTCAGCTTCTTGATCTGTGAAGAAGAAAGTGATCAGAATCTGAAGCTGGGGTCCCCCGTCTCCAGGCCTACGCTCACGGGGGGGGGGGGGGGGCCTCCCTGCTCACTGAGCACCACGGCCCCCAGCTCCATACTCACTGGGGGTGGGGGGAGCACAAAATTGTCTGGGAAGACGCCTCTTCGGCCGTGAGACTCTCCTTCCCACCAGCCCTTGTCCTCTGTGGTCTGGGGGAGCAAGACAGCACAGGGAGGTGGGCCAGATGCTGGGGCTCCTGCAGCCCAGGGCCCCCCCGCCCCCGGCCACCTCCCTGCCCCGGGCCTTGTACCTTCCTCAGGACTTTCACCTCGTCCCCCCTCCGCAGCGCCAACTCATCCGGGGCCTCAGGCTGGTAGTCAAACAGGACCCTGTAGATCTCAGGGCGGGAGACTGCAGGGCCGGCGGGTCCGCTGAAGCCAAGGCCTCTCTCTCCCCAGGCCAGTTGGGGACCCCCTCCCCCATTCGCTCAGTGGCGCGTCCCCCTGCCCCCAGTGGGCTAGGCGCAGGAGGGGGTTCCGAGGAACCCTCCAGCAGGGTGCTCACCTGTCTGCAGGTAGTCTGGAGGGCTGTCATAGGTCAGACTGCTCAGCTGGGGGGGGCGGGGGGGGGGCGGAGGAACAAGCTGAGCCTCCACCCGCCCTTCAACGGGAACCCACCAGGCCCGTGCCCCCCCTTCCCAGTTTACCTTGGGCGGCCGCTGGGGTCCAGGGCTGACTGCAGGCATGTCCGGGCTCCCGAGGCCTGGTGGGGACAGTGAGGTTAGGGGGGCGGGCTAGTTCAGTTTAGATCACGGGAGAGGTCAACGGGGTCACGGGGTCGGGATGAGCGGATCGCAGGCTCAGGCCACCGGGAAGGTCACAGGGGTTCCCGGGGTCACAGGGTGCAGGTCTCACTTGGGGGCCCACTGTCCAGCAACTCCACAAAGTTGGATGGGAAGGCTCCCAGCTGCCCGTTCTTCTTCCCCAGCCACCAGCCGTCCTCAATCTGGGGAGGAGGAGGACGCAGGGCCATCTGGTTCTGCCCCAAGGGTCTCTCGGGAAGCCTTCCCCCGCTTCTGCCCCGCTTCGGCCCGATGGCCGCCCTCCCCCTTGCCCCCTCAACTTCCCATCCCTGCGCCCCCCACCACCGCCGACGCCCCTCTCTCCGCACACCCTCAAGCGGGGACGGGCTCCAGCATCTCTGCCCCAAGCCTCATTCATCACTTTGTCCCCTCACCTCCTTTATCACTTCCACAATCTCCCCAGCTTGCAGCTGCAGCTCGTCCGCCTGCTCCGGGCTGTAGCTGAAGCTCACCTTGCACCATCGTTGGGGGCCCCGAGGCTTGGTGGGGCGACCTGCGCTCGGACGGGAGAGAGGGGCCGCCGAGCTGGGCGAGGGGCGGGGCGGGACAGGCCCCGCCCCGAGGCGGAGCATTGTACCCGAGAGCCAATCAGAGGCCGCGGGGACGCCGCGGCCCCGCCCCCAGCCCCGCCCCCACCCCGCCCAGAGCCGCGCATGCTCCGCAGCCGCCCTCCCCGCCCGCCCGGCCCCGCGCTCACCTCGGCGGCGCGCACAGCGCGGGCTCGGCGCCTCTCCCGCGCCGCGCAGAGACTCCGGGATCTCCTGCGAATGAGCGCAGGCGGCGGCGACCCGGGCGGGCCGGCTCTCAGCTCCTGGGGGCGCGCAGACACCCTCCCCCCCGCGACCTGGGGGCCCGGCCTCCCCTGCACCGAGCGCTCGGGGAAGAGACCCCAGCGACCCCCCCAGCTGTCCGCGCAGCCAGCCCGGGGCGGGCCCCTCGCACACCTGCCGCACCACGTCCCCGGGCGCCACGCTCAGCTCGCCCTCCTTCTGCGCGCGGTATCCGGCCAGCACCAGCACGTCTGCGGGCGGAGGGCGGGTCTGGGCACCCCGGCCTAGGCGCGAGTCCCGGGCTCCGCGTAAAGGACGGGCGGGCGGGGGGGGCGCAGGCCCTGTTGCCCTTCCCTCCACGCCAGGCCCTCTGCACATACCCATAGCTCCGGGCCTCCTCCGGGGCCGGGCTGGGAGCTCGGCGCTGTCCGGCGGGCGGCCGAGCACTGGCCCGGGTGGGCTGGGACGAGCTGCAAGGCCCAGAAGCGAAGGAGGCGGAGACGCCAGCCGATAGGTCGGCCCCAGGTGCTGGAGTGGGTGTGGGAGGGGTGGCCCGGCCCAGCAGGTCCGGCCCCCAGCCCTGGGAGGAAGATCCCAGGGTCTCAGGCCAGTGCGGGGGCCCAGCTCCCCCACGCGCTCGTCCTGGCCTAGTCACTTAAATTCCAGTCTGGCCGCCTCTCCTCCCTCTCGTGGCCCTAGGCCCTAAGGCTCCTACCCACCTTTGGCACAGTCTTTCTTGGTCTGTCTCCTGGCTGGCAAGCTTCGAGCTGCAGGGGAAGAGGTGGGAGAGGCACATACCTGGGCGGGGCCCCTAGCAGGCAGCAGCTGCTCTGAGGCAGGCCCTGGGTGGAGGAGCGGCGCTCTTGGGCGCACAAAGCTATTACTGATAGAGTCCAAATCTCTGCTCCCCCTGGAAGGCACGTTCTCCCTAGAACCCCACCCCCAGGTCATCAGGAGGAGTGTAAAGACCTCTGCCTCCGTGTGTGATTTCATAATACATCCACAGTCCCCTCGAGAAAGGGCAAGAGAAAGTAACTTTAGGACCTTTCAAGGCTCCTGCTCACAGCCAAGGGCAGAGAGCTGGCAAGACCTGAAGTTTAGGGCCCATCCGGGGCCAGTCCCATCCTGGCTGGGCTTTCTGGTCATTTCTTTTTGCCCAGTGGTGAACACAGAAGGCAGAGCAGAGCAGAGCCTGTGATTCACGACCCTTGACCCCTGCGCTTCACCACCCTGGAAGTCAAAGTCCTTGCCCATAACACCACAGTGAAAGGATCTGGTTCTTTAGGGGCGGCCAAAGATACAGGATGAAGCGAAATCACTGGGGTGGCTCAGTCTCCTCCCAGAACAACTGCGTGTGGCACCGATGAGGATAGGACTAAGCAACAGCTCTCAGAGACATTAAATGTCTTTCAGGTTTCCTGAAGCTGTTCCAGTAGATGCCAATACCGCCCCCCCCCCCCAAACACGCACACATGCTAAGGGTGACAATGACCAGAGTCCATTTACATCTGCCTTCTTCATTTATTTTTTTATTTGCAGGAGGAGTTGAAACAAATTTTAAAGGTGTTTTCATTTTTTTCCCCTAAACATGAATCATTCAAGTAAAACCAACTTAACTATAGAAATGTAGCAAAGTAAGGGGAAAGAAGCACAACAACCCAAGAGGCAAAGGTTGGGGGGGGCAGAGGTGGGTGCAGTCCGCATATAACATATGCATAAATGCCATATGATTCACCTGCTCAGGACCGCCTCCCCAGAAGGCAAGCACAAGGACCCATTTTAAGAGGATGTTTTCCCCCCAAACATCCAAGAATGTTTCAACTTAAAGCTTGTGGTTAATAAAAAAAAAAAAAAAAAAAAAAAAAAAAGGAAAAGAAAAAACAAACCCCCACAAACCACCCAGCCATAACCACCTTCCTTAATCGATCATAGGAGTTTCTTTTCATTTTATAAAAAGATTAATAAAAAATATTGAAAAAATTATTTTCTCATCTTATATTTGTAAAGATAATAGAATTCAGAAGTTTCTTAGAAAACAGACCAGAAACTGCCATCCAGTTTCCACCCCTGTTGCTGAGAGGATCAGCAGGACTATAAAGTTTGGGATACTGGAGCTGCTGGTGGAGAATGGGATGCCCAGCCCAGAAGAACTCAGAAAATATTGGGGTGGGGGGGCACGTGGGGTGTGGTTAGCAGCACACCATGGGATACATGGCTGTGCAGAAAAGGGGAACACAAGGTGGTCAGAAAGGCCTTGAACTCCTCCTCGACATACAAAACCGATTTTTACAAAGATCCAAGCAGTTTGGTCCCAAACTGAGGTGAACACTTCAATGTTTATTCACATGCTTTGTTTTCTCTTTGAAGAATCAAAGTCGCCCAAATTAAATCTTTCTATTATTACTACATATGCCTACGAAAAAAAAAGGGGGGGGGGAGGGAAGAAGAAGAAGAAGAAGGGCTTTTAAAATCTGGATAAGGGAGAAGAGATCGAAAATTATCAAATTAGTCCTCTTAGCTCCAAATGAAAATAAAAACAAAACTGTTGTTTCTAATAGGGAACAAACCAAAATCCAAGTATCGCTCTCCCCTCCCTACCCCAGCCCCCACCCCACACACCAACAACAAATGAGAAACACAGCTAAAGCCCAATGTGTTCTGCTCAAGAGCTGGGCCTGACCCCAGGCTCCTCAGCTGGCCGCCTCTGTCCAGTGGGACGCAGCGCCAGGGATGCTTTTGGCTGGAGTAGGATTCTGCGCGGCTGGCTGGTGGGGGTAGGGGTGGGATTTTTGCAATCTTGAGGCTCCTCTGTCTTGCTCCTCACCAGCCATCTTCCCAGCGCCCTCTCTCCCCTGGGCAGGGGCTCCCCATCAGAGTGGCCCCTACTCCGTTGCGGGCTGTAAATTGTCCTTCTCTTCTCGGTTCTCTGTCCCACTCTCGTCGTCTTCAATCTCCCCTTCCTCCCCACTAAACTTGTCGTGGGCCCATTTGGGGCTGGTGCTGGACTTCCGGAACATGAACCGGCCGCGACCCCGGGGGAAGGCTCCTCGGCCCCGGCCCCGGCTCACCCACTTCTCGCTGCCTTCACCTTCACGGTCATCATGCTGAGAGAAAAGAAAACTGTCATCAATCCCCGAGTGAACAGGCATAACCAGAACCCTCCTCTCCTAAATGGGACTTTCTCAAACCCACCTATGCTCCCCACCCCCACCTTTTGCTCCTTTTCTGTCCTCCCGGGTCCCTACTCCAAAATGCTACTGATTCAGATCCAAGAGAATATTCCACTGAGGCCTTAAGAATCCTAAGGCAGGGGATTCCTGGGTGGCGCAGCGGTTTGGCGCCTGCCTTTGGCCCAGGGCGCGATCCTGGAGACCGGGATCAAATCCCACGTCGGACTCCCGGTGCATGGAGCCTGCTTCTCCCTCTGCCTATGTCTCTGCCTCCCTCTCTCTCTCTCTCTGTGTGACTATCATAAATAAATTAGAAAAAAAAAAAAGAATCCTAAAGCAGTAGCGTGGGCATTACAACCGTTGTAAAACCGCCGAGCGCTGACAGGCCGTCACCTGCACTCTCTCTGGTAATCCTCGTATCTACCCTATCACCGTCACCCTCCACTCTGCAAAGGAACTTCGGGTGACTCCACGTCATTTCACATCCCCGCGGCCAACAACTGGCAGTGAGACCAAGGGCAAATGACCAGGTCACGGCCTCAGACCCAGGAGTGGCAAAGGGAGGACCGGAAGCCAGCCGCCCATCTCCGCTCTCCCCTCTGCAATTTCAAGCAAAGAGGCAGGGTGGCAAAGTGGAAAAATACCCAGCCTGCACTTCAATCCTGCTCCGATGGTCACATCAGAGACGAGAGAATGAGAGTCGTGAGAAAGCACTTTAAAAACTAGGAGTTGCTGTTACCACGTCAGCCCGTCAAAAACTCTAGACCAACCCAAGTACACCCTCAGGCTGCAGGGACCAACTCAGCTAGAGGGCCAGCCGCTTCCTACCAGGACCGCTGCTCAACAGCCTAAATGCAGGAGGCCGGCAACGCTCCTTCGGGTGGCAGACGGGGACCAGGAGGAGCAGCACGGCCGTTAATGTCTCCCCCTGTGGCAGTACCACTCTGGCACCTACCCTGCGCCCCACCAACTGTTCCCCAGAGACAGGGCCAAGGGTCCTCTCGGAGTCTCAGAGCAGCTCCAGCCGCCCCAGAAAAGTGAAGGTGGCCATGCCATCGTCTACAAAACCGGTTTCCCAGCTGTGCAACTGACAACACAGACCCACACCAGCCCTTGTGGGTGAGGAAGGCTCAACTGCAAGTTTACCTTGGTTACAACACTCAGAGTCCCATCTGCTTGGACCTGAGCCTGTTTGTTGATACAGCAAGGCAGAGAACTTCCTCACTGGCAAGGTCAGCCGAGCCTAGAGGAGCCCCAACATGGGGTGGGGGGGGGGCCAGGAAGTGCCTGCTACCTGGGAGTGATCAGCAGCTCAGGTAAGAGAAGCCTTGGTGACTTCTATTCTGGAGATAAATTCCCTCCCTCGAACAGATCCAGAGCGGTCTTAGTTTGTCACTCTGGCACTAGGGAGTGACAGAGTAAACTGGGGACATGAGGGAGGGTTCTGACTCCATCCCTGGATAAAGGCTGGAGGGAGGCCGAGGGCAGATTAGCAATGAGACAAGCTCACAGGCTCAAAATGCCAGAGCAAACCTTCTTGTGTCCTGGAATCCATACACGTCTCAGACGAGGCCCGGCTACCACCTGCCAGGAGAACGCTCCTCTTGCCAGCACTGTACTGTCCCACAAGTACACACCCCCAGTGCAATACGCCTGCACATGCATTTCATCACGGCTCTGGACAGACCTAGTAAAGGGCCTCGGGATCAAGCCACGGTGTGCGCCTGAGGCCCTCTGGCCCCTCCTGCTTATCCCAGACACATACCAGATAATACTTCTTGCTCTTGGGCGTGTACTCAGGGTCCCACTCTTCCTCCCGGTTTCTCTTCTGAAAATCGTTGTTGCTGTTGTTGTTGTTGTTACCAGAGTAGGTGCCTCTGCCCCAGCCTCTCCCTCTGGCTCGAAATTGCTGTGGCAAGAAGTGGGGAAAAGAAGAAAGGACTGTCAGGAATGGACAAAAACCACCTCCTGCCTTCTGTTCAAATACTTTTCTGGCACAGAACAGTGGTCCTGGGATCCCTGGGTGGCACAGCGGTTTGGCGCCTGCCTTTGGCCCAGGGCGCGATCCTGGAGACCCGGGATCGAATGCCACGTCGGGCTCCCGGTGCATGGAGACTGTTTCTCCCTCTGCCTGTGTCTCTGCCTCTCTCTCTCTCTGTGACTATCATAAATAAATTAAAAAAAAAAAAAAAAAAAAGAAGAGTGGTCCTCTAGTCGATCTACTAGTCGACTGGCTTCTAGCCATTCCCTATCGGCTCAAGTCTGTAGCCCAGACAGAGGACGAGATGGCACAAGGCCCTTGCCACAGACGCAGCAACAGTCAGGTAAGTGGGGAAATCTGGAGGCCAAAAGCCTCCAAACAGGCTTTCTAGGTTAAGTCATTACGAACAGAAAAATAACTACCAACAGAAAGTTTAGGGAAGAGGGGGCACCAGATTCTGGGATCTATAGCGTGGATTCCTTGTCACAGGGGGAACAAAACTAGTCATCTGACAGACACGAACTAGAGTGGGGAGGAGCAGAGGCTGAGAGAAGGGAGAGGAGGCAGGATCTTACAAAGGTCCCTCGAGCCCTGCCGCCTCTTTCATTTGGACCCACGAAGTCCTTGGTCCCTAGTCTTGACTTGTCAAAGCCTGTGCTG